TACATAATATCAAGTAAAGAATTTGTTTCTTAAGCATACGTTTAATGGGCCAGAACTTTTCTAATCCTGTTCTGTAACATGCGTTCTGTTTCTGTCTCCCTTCTCTTATTGGGGCTCTGCTTTATGATACAAAGGGCTGTCAGATCACAAGGTTAGTTTCAGTATGACTGATATCCAATTTATCTCCACGGCTCGAACTTTCGGCGACATATTCCTTGATGGTGTTAATGTGACTCGAAATTTCGGGCGAAAATTGCTCTATGTGGGGAATATTCGGAACGAAAATTCGTTCCTATCGTTCATTCTTCTCAAAAGGATTTGGTTGGATTTGTGGTTTGTTACTGATCCATGTAAAACTCCCATAGAATTTCCCGCTACGATTTCAGTCTCCGCGCGACCCATGTCGTTTACAACCATGGCAACACTTAGGGTTTTAATTGTGTCGATGCATTTGGGATCATTTACGTACTCTACTTTTCGTAGTCATCGTAGCAAAAGTTTCAAATTATTCGAGAAAAAAAATCAAGATCCTGAAAAAAATACAGGCCCGTACGGGATTTTAATTCATGACCTCTGCGATACCGGTGCAGCGCTCTACCAACTGAGCTAACAAGCCAACTGGGAGCTGGATAATGTATTGGGTCCAGTTCAGCTCCCAGTTGGCTTGTTAGCTCAGTTGGTAGCGCGCTGCACCGGTATCGCAGAGGTCATGGGTTCAAATCCCGTACGGGCCTGATTTGTTTCAGGTCCTATTTTCAACTACTCGTTTCTTCACCGCAGTGCAAATATATGAATTTCATATATCTAAAATCATCATGGTTTAGGCTTGTTTAAACATCAGGAAACTGGAGTTGATGTGCAAAATATCTGGATTCGTCTAGGAGATAATTTCAGCTAAGTACTTGTATCATGGTCGGAGTTACTGTAAGACGCGAACGCTTGGTACAATTTGCCCGATTTTCGTTGTCATCCACAGATCGAGCCCAGAGTCCGTCGGACGTGATAACCTTTTGATGTGTAGTCCTTTTGTCTACTGTATTTAGTCTCAATTATTAAGTGTCTCTGTCTGTCCAAAAGGTTGGAAATACGTTTAAAAATATTTTTTGTTGCATACATGAATAATAAACAAACTTGATCACTCGTGGAAGGCTATTGTCAGTTTGAAGCGAAGTTTCTAACACTAATGATCGAAAGACACTTTCCGCCGCAGAATTTTCTCGTCGTGGCGAATATTCAACGAAAAAGCTTTCTTTGTTCAAACGAAATATCGCCTAACAGGCTTCGAACTTTCGACTAAAGATCGTCAGAACAAATAACCAAATTCGCCGAATTCCGTTTGCATTACTTTTGCACAATACTGTAATTAATTAAGAATTCTACAAAGCGAAGCACAGACGATTACAAAATCGATGTCAGAACTTCTGCCGAGGAATTTGAACCCCCACAGTCGTATTCCTCCACTGACCCAAGCTGTCCAGAGATTGTCGTCTTTCCGAAGATATATACCTTTAATACAAGCCCTCAAAAAAAGCGAAACAGGAATGAGATAATTTTCAATTTAATTAAGAACAATAGAGAATTGCCGTGTACGTGTTTACTTACTCTCATAATAACACCCGAAACATGGCCGAGGGTTTGTATATCCTTTTTCTTGTAACACTTTCTGCAAGATAGAAATAAAATAGACGAAGAAAAAAAATTCAAGTCTAATACAACTGATAATGAAATATCACCTACCAAGTTTTCCGTAATTCTCAACATATCAACATTAGCAATAACGTTACATTTGATGTATTATTATTTCCATTTCAAAGATGTGTGCATCGCAGACCAATGTCGTAATTTGGAGTTTGGACCTGAGAAGGCATTTAAAGGGAAACGCCTCGTAAACCACACAATTCGCACCGTAGAAATAACAGTTTCCAGGTTCTGTGAAAACTTGTGTTACATGGAGCCCTACTGCGTCAGCATTAATCTTTATACACGGGCAGATGGAAAACGAAACTATAAATGTGAACTGAACAATGCTACTCATGAAGGACACGAAGAAAAGTTGATAGACCAAAAAATGTATTCTTATCACGCAGCTGAGGTAAATGTAACTTTCAATTTAAGAGTCAGATTGGTTTACTTTGTTGATTTTTTTAAAACTCTTAATTTCATGTTCACCTTTACTTACGAACGCTAGTTGTTTTCCCTCTTTTAAGATATTAGCGGTAATATTGTTTCTGTGCTCTTCACCTAAATCTCCTGAAAGACAACACATTTTAAAGTTATTGGAGAAATATAGAAATAGAAGGACAACTATGATATAAGGATAACGATGGCGATATTGATGATGGTGGCGGTGCGGTTGACTATTAGATGATGAATATGATTATCATGATGATAATAACAATGACAATAACAACGGTTTGTTTCTTCTGTCAGAGCAATTGTGTTCAAAATCCATGTAACAACAATGCTACTTGTCAAAGTGGATTTACTACGAAAGGTTATCGGTGTCTGTGTATCGCTGGATTTGAGGGTCCACTTTGCGAAAGAGGTAAACACAACTTTTCTTTTAATATCTTGAGACGTTCAGTTTAACAAAGACGAGCTGCTTGCTAAATGGGTCGCAATAAGGAATAATTCAGCTTTTTCCGTCCTTGTGTTGCGTAAACCGCTCTTACTAGCCAGTAAAAGCGAAGCGCAACAGGCCTTTGTCTCTTTACCTTCACAACTCAAAGGCGAATTTTTGGTTTTTTGTCATTTATTCTCGTCATCTTCCTTCTCCTTATTCGTCTTCACATATCTTCTGCTGAGCCGCACTGAAAGTGGACAGAAACAATAGTAAAATACAGTAACCACGGGCAAAAAGATAATTGGCTACCTGCAGAGCTTTCCGGATTAAAAGAAAAAAAAAAGATATCACTGTTTTGAAGCTCACCAGTACTGCTTGTAACTTACAAGGTAACTGTAGTGATCATGATAAAAAAAAGACCACGTTTACCATGCTAAAAACAGTACTTAAAGAAGGCCTATGTTTATTGTCTTTTTTTTTTTTTACGATAATTTAGTTTTCATTTATTGGTGTATTTTTTTTTCTTATTCAGAAATTAATGAATGTGTTCGTGGACTACACAAATGCAGCTCTGATGCGTTTTGCAACAATACTAAAGGTTCATATAATTGCACATGCAAACATGGATTCACGGGAAATGGACGAGAATGTAGAGGTAGACATTGGATTCAATAGCAATTATGTGATGAAAAAATGAAGCTTACATCTTTAAATTATCAACAAAGGAATCGTAACTTACATCTCGATTCTCTCAGCAGAAAAATACATAGTGAAACTGAACGCAAGCAGAGATACATGTAGACAAAATCACATTGAAAAAATTACTCTTGATAATGAAAGGTTTTTCGCACCAAATGGAATCAATCTACTAATCACTGTTTCTTAGTTTCATTCATCTTTTGTTGCACAAACTGTCTAATGGCTACAGAAATCTGTTTGATATTCTTAACAACAAGTATCAATGCTGTACAAATCAAATACGAATATCAAGTAATACTGCTAACCTTTTAAATTATTCATGTGTTTCTGTCAATTGTTTGTCGGCTTTATATTTACAGACATCGACGAGTGTGTCGTAAGGTCACACTCTTGCAGCCCTGATGCCTATTGCAACAATACCAAGGGGTCTTACAACTGTACATGTAAACCTGGATTCACTGGGAGTGGAAGAGAATGCAAGGGTGAGCGTTACTTTTGGGAATATCGAGCAAAGGAGGATTTTCTAATTTCGAACTTTCTTATAAAATATGTGAAATGCCAGTACGGGCACAAAAGATACAAACCAAAAACTTTGCCTTCTGGCTAAAAAACCAAATAGTACAGGATAAACACTTAAGCGTCTTGTATCCGTATATGTTGCTATTTCCTTAATTGTTAATTTATTTGTCTGTCTATTTTTTCCATTATTTTTATTACTTATTTTTGAGATATCAACGAGTGTCTTAGCACGCTACACACCTGCAGTCCTCACGCATTTTGCAATAACACCAAAGGGTCATACAGTTGCACATGTAAACATGGACTCGCTGGAAATGGACGAGAATGTGAAGGTAAACGTTGGGGTCGAAATATAGAGGAAATCGGCTGATGAAAAACACTAGTTGAGAATTTACAGGTATTACAAAGTAAACATTGCGACGCAATTTTCAGAATCGTACTACCTTTATCATACTATTTAAGGCTACCAAAGGTGCAGGACAGGAAACCACTACTTTTAAACACTAATTATGAAAAATCTGATTGGTTGAGAGCATTCAATCAATATACTATAGCGTGTAGAGTTGAAATGATAACACAATATCCGCAGCGGGTATAGCAGTTATGGTTTCGAGTTCACGTTCTACTTAATTTCAAAGCCCCTCTGGCTAAGTAAAAAAATACGATTGTTTTATAAAGATAACAATAATCGATGCCCTCCCGACGTCGCTTTTTATCAATGGTGTATTTGAAGAAAACATACGTGCTGCCAAACAAAGTGAAAGAAAACTGAGAACTGTTTTCAGCCACAAAGCAGAGCCTGGAACATGACAAAATTATTCGGTCAGTCCGTCAGACTGGGCTCAATATAGTTTCCAAATGATGGATTAAGATATAGTTAAAATAAATGTACAATTCCCTCTAATCAAAGACATTTTTAAACTTCTTCCAGGAGCTAACTCGTGTAAAGAAATTCATGACATGTAAGTAGAAAAATGCCCTTTGTCATCGGACACCTGTTTACTTGCAGGACAAATAACCGAGCATTGTTGCTATGAAGGCTGTTGTCTATATTACGGAGTTATCAACGTATTTTCCTGAGGGATCAACTTTTCATGTGTGTATTTGTTGGATAATTATCGTTATCACTCAGTATCTTCGCGATTTTCATCGTAGTTATGATATTTATTTAATAAGCTTTAGTTTTATTTCACCACCATTGTCTACTTCATTTCTTGTTTTCCTTTTTTTTCCCTTTTTATTCAAACGATCAAGTATGAGTGGTGTGGTTACCCTTCTTGTTGACTCGAAACCATTGTCCGTTTTTTGTCACATGAGAAATTTTGGGTGTGGAGATGGAGGATGGACGCCAGTCATGAAGATTAACGGAAATGAGGTGCATACTGTTAATGAATGATTTATTTCGTATATAGACCCGCTCTCTTTCAAAACGTTGCAAATTGCAAACGTGCATGTCACATATGTATGACTTTTGTTTTTCTTCGAGAAGGTAATGCACAAAGAACAGACTTTGTTCAACGTAAATTTCAAAACTTATGGTGTTTATAATGACTTTTGAAAAAGAAAAGTTTAAAAGGATGTATAAATATATCCTAACGTGTTTTCTTCTAGTATCATGTAACAGCTCACACCCTTAAATACTTAGGATTAGTTATCGATTCCTTTATGTTGTGGCATGATCATATTGATTATATTAGCAGTAAAATTAGCAAAAGTCTAAACATAATCGCAAAACTGAAACGACATTTAAAAGTTCAATCTCTTCTAAGTGTATACTGTGCACTTGTACATCCTTATTTAACATAGGGCTGCATATTGTGGGTTAATAATTACGAAGTTCTATTGTCTCAGTTGGTAAAGCTACAAAACAAAGCTATGAGAATCATCAACAATGTACCAATTCGTGACCATGTTACTCCCCATTATGTAAGCCTCGGCCTAATTAAGCTTCCTGACATAATTAAATTGAGTACGTGTCAACTATTCTACGGTTATATTGTAGACAAAAAATATTCTAATTTTGCCCTTTCTTTTGTATCTGAGATCCATGATTATGCCATTAGAAGTACATCTTCTCAACACCTGAACCCCAGCCCCTTCAGAATAAATAAATTCTTTCCAACAGTTATAGGGTGCTACTATTCGAATGATATTCCTATATCTATACGGGAGAAGCCCACTTAAAACCTTTTTAAAAGAGCACTTTTCTCACGTTACCTTTCCCAGTACTGATTAATGTCTTCCTCTGACCATGTTTTATTTAAATATTTGTTGTTTAAGGTGTGATTCCTATTCCTTCTCTTATATATTGTATCTTACATTTGTATCTTATTGTATCGCTTCTTTTTACTGTATGAAAAATTGTAATTTAAGGTAAAGAGTATCTAATTAGCTCGCTATATTATGCCCTTCTCCACCCTCTTATCTTACTTGTAATTATTCATCAGACTCTAATCTATCGAAATGGAGGAGAAAAAAATAAATACTTACACTAATACAGCTAGATATATGCAGATACACAACAGGAGGCAGAGAGCAAATATCCATCAATTCAGAGAAAACACAAACATGTATTGCTACTACATTTCAGACCACCTTCCATTATGACTCGCAGTATTGGAGCAATTACAATGAATACAACCTCCCTGGTGGAGAGACTGGGTTTGACAAACAGGAAACAAAGCTACCCACCTACTGGAACACCTCCTTCTCCAAAATATGTCTCGGAATGAAGATCGGCGAACAGCTCAAGTTCATTGTCATCAACAAGCAAGCTGACTCTCTGCACTCACTGATCGCTGATGAGCAATACCGTAACACCTCACTGGGTCGTGACGAGTGGAAAAAGTTGATTGGCAGCGAGGCCTCATTACAGAAAAACTGCAACATGGAAGGATTCAATGCCTTTAGTACTTGGAGTAATCGTTCTAGAGTCAGAATTGGTATTGTTAGCAATAACGAGAACGACTGCCACACGTGCAACTCTTTGATTGGATTTGGTACAGGAAGCCACCCTAATCATGGAAAATCTTGCGGAAACCAGGCCGACGAGTCAAGTCCAGATAATGGATGGAAGAGTATTAAAGCCATGGGGTACATATTAGTGCAATAAAACTACACTTTGTTGTCTCAAGTTCGTAAATCACGTTTGTTTCACCTTGGAGGCATCTTATTGCTACAGAACAATCCAGGCAAATGGTCGTCAAAAAGCCTTAATGATACAGTAACTACGCATTTACACTTATTAAGAGATATGTACATATTCCCAAATCCTTAAATTTCTTAGACTTCATCAGGAAAGCATAATTAAGACGTTTTCTTCAAAAATATCAGTAACCATAGCTTCAATAATCAAAGTTCATAAATATTCCCAAAAAATTAATTGTGAGTAATTGCCACTTGGCTTTTATGCAACAGAAACAGCAGTCTTAGGTCCCTCGAATGCCACCGTTCTTGGTCTCCCAATTACTTCATTGTTTTAAACTAGAAATAACTAAAAGTATTCGAAGATTCATCATCATTGATCAATTATCGAACCCAGAATTTTCTAGCAGCTACAGTGTCTTGCTATTAGAGCATGGAACAGTTAAATGCCACGTCTTTGAATGCTGAATTGACGTCTGTACTTTTTTTGCTGGTAAAAGAGTGGAAAACCTAAGATAGACCCTGATTCTATTGGCTTCAAGTTCATGTTTAAGTACATGTAATGCCTGTTGTTTGATTAATTTACTGCTTTGCTAATCATTCTATTCAAAATGTATCGTTGAACTCTCTCTGGTTAAATGAGATTGGTTCAATTCAGTAGTGTAACCTTAATTAGGCTGTGTTGTAAGCTGAGAATATTAGAGTTAATGCCTAGTTTCATTCAATTCTATTGTTGCTGCGGTCTGTGTCGAATCTTTAAATTATTGTCTGATTTTTTCGCGGTGATTGGTCTTAAAACTAATAGCCTTAAGATGTTGGAAAAAAACTACGCCACGGCAAGTACAATTTCTGGTTGTACCCTATGTATATTAGAGCCATCAAAATTTCTTCTGCCAAAAACAATTGTAGCAGCATTAACATGTCAAAGATCGTAATGAAAACTGTTTGTTACGGTGGTGTACAAGTGAGACAAAATAATAATCACTGTACAAGCATATTCATTCGAGCCAAAAAAAACTATTCTTACCTGTGCAAAAATATTCTCCTTGTGCACAAAAAGCAGATGACGCTGTGAGTCAGCGATATTGTGAGTTTGATTGGGAATTTAAAATATGTCTACAGGGAGCCCTCGAAGCTATTAATTGATAAAATTTTCCCGTATCGTCTTTTGAGGCGAATTTTCCTTGACCCCGCATGAGTAAAGAAGACCTGAAGAGGAAATCATGTGTAGGGTGGGCAGTCCTAAAGCAAACGCTGGGTTCTAGATGATCTTAAACATTCCATAGCTTTTACTCTGTGTTGGTAACGAAAATTATTTTAGCAGCAACAAGGGAATACCACTGGTTTCAGAACATAAATAGAATTAAATAATGATAAAGAGAAAACATAGTACTCGCTGCTCCTCATGGTCTATGGCAGATGTCAAAACTTTTTAAAACGAAAGCATTAGTTACAGAACCTTATTTTAGGTTTTTAAAAGTGGATTCCATTCCCTTCATTGCGGTCACTTTCCTTTTTGTTTTCCCGCGAAAAATCTTTGGAAATTATATTTCCATACGTAAATAAGACGATATGCAACCGAGTTTAACAGAAATGTGTGGGTGTGTGTGCGTGTTTTTAATAATTTGTCGCCTCCTGCGTGGAACTTGAAGTTTCACAAAATGTTGCTGGAAACTGAGAAGAATACATTTGCGCCCTACGATAACTTCTAGAACCAAAACAACCAGTGTTAGAATGGTGATTTGTTTTTAAATAGCACAAAGCATAAATATGAAATACTGTAACTACACCCTACGATAATTTCTAGCACCAAACTAACCAACCTTAGAATGGTGATTCGACAAGTTTTTAACTAGCACAAAGCGTAAATATGAAGTACAGTAACTATACATTTTAACCTCACTACCATCTTCGACTTCCGGCAGATACGTGATGCAGATTTAAATCATTTCTCATTTAATAAATGAGTGCAGTTAGCCTCAGAGATAATAATAATAATAATAATAATAATAATAGTAATAATAATAGTAACAATAATAATAAACTTTATTTAACAAGGGTTACGCAAAGCAGTAAATATACTGAAGAACCAGTGGCCCTCAATAGATAGTACAAATTAAAAAAGTAATAGCATTACATAAAAGCATTAAAGACTAACTAAATAGGGAGTTATTCAAATACAACTGTGATATAAAAGTTAAAATTTAAACTATCTATTATGTTCAAACAGAACAAAGATAAGACCAGTTAATTACATACAAAATTTAAAATTGCGCGACAAAATAATCTAATTCTCATAACTTTTCACAAAATGTTCTATCATGGATTTCTTGAAGCCCATAAGATTCTTTTTGTTTCTGATCTCGCTGGGAAGCTTATTCTAGAGGCAGATAGTCGATACTATGAAAGACCTCGCTCCTTCTGACTCCCGTTTGAATCAGAGGTAGACAAAGTTTAACTGTCCATGTCTGCTCGTTCGTTCATTAACATCTGCATTTCCTATTAGCATCGTAGTCATAAAGGATGGGCAATCGCTAGAAAACTGTTTATATACAAAAATGTACTTATTTGTTTTCGCTTCATCCTAAAAGGGACCAAACCTAATTGTTTAAATAATTGAACGTTGTTCGCTTTTCTAACAGCACCTAGTATTACACGTGCTGCGCATTTCTGCAGCCTGAAAACTTTCCGAATATTTTCTACAGAGCAGGATGCCCACACGGTTGAGGCATACAGCATTGTCTGCTTGACCGTTGCATTATAAGAAAGTTTTTTTTGATCAAGAGGCAGCAAGCGTCTTGTTTTCCACAATACAGCGATTCTCTCCTGGTCAAAGGTAAGCTGACTGTCAATCGTCACACCAAGCAATTTGTACGAGTCTACTTGTTCAGGTTCAGTAGAGTCTAAGTGTAACTGAAGGGAAGATTGTTCTATCTTCTTGACCAGACGTTTTCCCATAACAAGCATAGATTTTCGTAGAAAAGGTTGTGGTTATTCATCGTGGTGAATAACAATAAAAGCTAAGTTTTCCGTTTGTCTCATGATGTAGTCACGCTTGATTTAGATCGCGACGTTTCGACTGCATACTGCTAGTCTTCTTCAGGCGATGAAGTCGACTAGTCATGCGTGATATTATAAAGCATGATGCTCTGCTGTGATTAGTTGTTTTTTCAACAGCTCTGATTGGTGCATTTCGATCCTTGCCGTTCACTCAGTGATTTGATCCCTCGGCGGTCCGCTGTCGCACGACTCTCCAGTTGTTGTGTTTTTTGATCGTGGGCATCTACGCTTCTGGAATTTCTATTCCACTATCCCTGTTGATGTTGTTAGGGTGAAGTCTTATATGAATTGCTTCTTTGACCCAGCGCGTGTAGTAATAAGGGTCACCGTCAATAAAGTTTCTGGCGTGAAACTGACCTCATTAACAACAACCAATTTGGCTTCCTACGTGGAAGATCCACTGCAACTCAATTATTATCAACGTTTAATAGCTAGGTGAAATCTTGCAATTTATCTATCCCTACCGATGTCATCTTTCTTGATCTTGCCAAAACCTTTGACAGCGTTCCCCATGAGTGGCTGCTTTTAAAATTGAAAAGTAACGGCATCGATCGTTGTTTACTCACCTGGCTCAGACATTTTTTGGTGGGGCGCAAACAACGTGTAGTCATTAGGGGATCTTGTTCTGACTGGTCGTACATTACCTCCGGGACTCCGCAGGGCACCATCCTTGGGCCGTTATTGTTTTTATTATATTTTAATAACATAACTGAATGGATATCGTCCACAGTAAAACTATATGCAGACGATAAAGAGATTTAAAGAGAGATAAATGACCCGATTATAGACTGTCAGCTTCTTCAGGATGATCACAACAACCTTAGCGATTGGGCACGTAAATGGCAGCTACGTTTCAACGGAGACGAATGCGAATCTATGCGAATAACGCATTCACGCGATGAGTCTGAAACCAATTATTTCTTAGAAAAGCCCCTGAAAGATGTAGACATCTTAAAAGATCTCGATGTTACAATAACTAAAGATCTCTCATGGGGTAATCGCATTAGTATTACTGTGACCAAAGCGAACAAAATTCTAGGTTCCATTAAACGGTCGGTAGGCACCGCTAATGCAAATGTTTTTTCCATGTTGTACAAATCTCTTGTACAGCCAATTCTGGAGTATGCGGCACCTGTTTGGTGTTACTACCTTGTTAAGGACATCCACGCCCTTGAGAATGTACAGCGAAGAGCCTCAAGACTTGCATTAAACCAACGCAAAGGGGATATGTCCTATGAGGACCAATGCAAACTTCTAAAATGGCCCACTCTTTCTGACCGTAGAACTTTTTTATCTTTAATTGAATGTTATAAGATAGTTTTTGGTCTTTATCATTTAAAATTTGAAGACTTTTTTGATTTCGCTACAACTCCGTTTACGAGAGCAAATCACCAATACAAACTCTACGTCAAACCAGCAAGACTTAATTGTTATAAACATTCTTTTTTGGTTAGGATTATCAAATTACAGAATGAGTTACCGGGTGATATAGTGGAAGCTAGTAGCTTTCAGCATTTTAAATCTAAACTTAAATTGTATCTCAATATTTAATTGTATAGATCTTGATTTTTATTTTATTTTATTTACTAATTTATTTTATTTTAAGGGAGATTTTTACATAGGGTTATCCTCTAAACTTCCTTTTCTAGAAGTACCTTTTTTCTTAGTTTTAATCTGTAAATATAGTTTGCTTCTAGAATAAATAAAGTATGTATGTATGTATGTATGTATGTATGTATGTATGTATGCATGCATGCATGCATGCATGCATGCATGTATGTATGTATGTATGTATTTATGTATGTATGTATGTATGTATGTATGTATGTATGTATGTATGTATGTATGTATGTATGCATGTATGTATGTGTGTATGTATGTAAGTTTACTTCGTTCCAGAGAGTCGAA